CTTATTTTTACAAACTTGGACTCCACTGAGTTTAAGTATAGACACAGAACGGCTGTTTAAGTATAGACACAACTATAAAAGAGCCAACTTTGAAATGCACAAATGTCTAACCTGTTATAGGATACATGTGCATTAAAAGAACTGAGGAATGCAATAAACAAATGGGTTGTTGAGAGTTTTGGGCTATACGGCCATGGACTATATGGCCATGGGCTATATGGCCATGTTCCAGAAGCACTCTCTCCTGACGTTTCGCCTACCTCTATGGCAGGCATACTCAGAGGTTGAGGGAACTGTTGGAAACTAGGCAAGGGAGGTTTATATATCTGTGGAATGTCCAGGGTGAGAGAAAGAACTGTCTGTTTGAGGCAGGTGTGAATGTTGCAAATGGCTACTTTGATTAGCATTTAATGGCCTTGCAGCTTCAATGCCTGGCTGATTGCTGCCTGGGGAAATTATTTATTGGGATGTGTTAGGTGGCCCCGATTGATTCTCAAGCAGACAAGAGTTCTTTCTCCCACCCTGGACATCCCACAGATATATAAATTCTACAGTACTTGCCTAGCTTCCCACAGATCCCTCAACCTCTGGGGATGCTTGCCACAGATGTGGGCGAAACGTCAGGAGAGAATGCTTCTGGAACATGGCCATACAGCCTGGAAAACTCACAGCAACCCAGTGATTCCAGCCACGAAAACCTTCAACAACACAATAAACAAATGTTGGCATGCACTATGCCTCTAACATTATTTGATAGCAATTTTGAAACTGAGTGGCACCAGAAAATATCTTGAAATACAATTCAGTACACAATTATTATATATAGGGGAGAGGGTAAAATCCATTTTTTTCTAGACTACAGTCCCAGTTTGGAAAACTGTGGAAGGCCTACGTTTTCCAAGTTCACGTTAAACAGACATTCACTTGGCACGTTCACTTGCATATTCGGGTCTTGTTTAAGACCAAATGCTCCCATATTTCTGTGTCTGAAAGATGCTACTGAGAAAATGGCATACAGATTGAATATCCAAGTTTGTGTACAGAGGAGAATCAAAAAGCAAAAGTGTCATTAGTTTGACCACCCATGCAGACAATTTCAGATTTTTTCATATTTTGGAATTTCCAGTGCTTGACCTATAGTAAGTCAAAAGTAATCTGAGCCAAGGTGGCACAATGAGTTAAATCAGTGGTTCCCAACCTGTGGTCCACAATAACTAAAATATGGTCTGCAGCCTCACCATTACAACGCCGTTGCAACGAGAGCTACAGGTCTTACAAAATCCTCTTATAGTGTTGAGGCTTCTTAAATATGGTTTTCTGTGGGCAAGCAGATGACGACTACTGGGTGGCATATGTTCTGTACCAGAAACTAGAGCTGGTGTGGTCTCCCAGCAGTATGGTAACACATCCAGGGCAACGTCTCCGTAGACAGCCAATTCTCTCACACCAGAAGCAACTTGCAGTATATTCTCAAGTCGCTCCTGACATGATTAAAAAAAGGCAAAAGTACGTCCACAAAATAGATTGCCACCAGTTGCCAATTCCTGGTAGTCTATGGTTGTGGACTATGTCATCTCATAGGGAAGGGTATTAGCTTGGTGTCAGAGGGCATGCAGTAAAGGTAAAAGGGTCCCGGTCTGATCCCCAACCTCTCCAAATAAGCAGAGAACTGAGGCTTCCCCTAAACCTGAAAAGCTATATCTGGGTTAGTTTGCTCTTTGGGGTCCTTAATCCTGATCTTAGACAGTTCTTATGTTCAAAGGCAGGAATAGTGCACGATCCATATCAATCAGCACTGAAATATTATATCCTAACTTCAAGGGACTTCAAAGCAAGGGGCTTACCATTGGGCAGGGTAAAACAAAATAACAAAAGCTGCCCCTGGTTTTGGGTGCCCTTACGTGTCACTAAATTTTAGGTTGTTTGATTTTCCATCGTAGCATTTTTAGCACAGTGAAAAGTTTTGTGGATTTTCTGCTACCTCTCATTGAAAAATATCTTAGCAGCCATGCAGCTTAACTTTGTGACGATGGGCAATTTTTGCTTCTCCGGTTCAAGCCGGAGACTTTCTGGAGCTCTTGCAACCATCCTTCAAAATGGTACCCTTCAGAAGCATCGGAATACAACTCCCAGCACCCACAGCCAGTAATGGGTTGGGGATAATGGGAGTTGATGTTTCTCAGTACCTACTGGAGGGATTGAGGAGAATACTCCTTCATTCTCACAACCTGTTGTCGGATCCTGGTCCACTTTGAAAAGACCATCCCAGATGATATAAAATAGTTCAAGAAATAAGGATTTCAGCATCACATAGAATCACAGCTGGCAACTTCATTGTTTCTGAGGTCGTACATCCATTATGAAATTTTAAAATGCTATCTAAAGTGTAGCATTAGATGGCATTTTTACTCAACCTATACTCTGGTTAGTACAGATTGAGTATCCCTTGTCCAAAATCCTTGGGACTTGATTTCTGATTTTATTTTTATTTTATTTTGGAATTAGTGTATTACATATGCAAACATAATGAGACATCTTGGAGATGGGATCCAAGTGTAAACATGCAAATAATTTATGATTCACATTACCCTCATAGTCTAAAAGTAATATTACTATAATTTTGGGCACAAAGCAAAGTGTCACTAGGTCAACCACGCATGTGTATAATTTTGGTGATTTCAAACTGTACTTACATGGGAGACCACCAAACAATACTAGGTGCTGTAGGCTAATATACTATGGTCTTTGAAGTGCCTAAAGCAGGCATGGGCAAACTTCAGCCCTCCAGATGTTTTGAACTTCAACTCCCACAATTCCTATCAGCCTATCAGGAATTGTGGGAGTTGGTCCAAAACACCTGGAGGACCAAAGTTTGCCCATACCTGCCTTATACAATGTGGGAGTTGGAGACCAAAACACCTGGAAGGCCAAAGTTTGCCCATGGTTGCATAACTTTGAGCAATGGCAGTTAAGGTGGTGTCAAGCTGTATTCATTCTACAATGTAGATGTACTCCCTATGATTGTTTCGCCTCAGGGACCCCATAAATCAGAAATGATTTGAAGGCACACAATAACAACAAACTGGAGACGTTCAAAGCCTGATTGATTGCTGCCTGGGGGAACCCTTTGTTGGGAGGTGTTAGCTGGCCCTGATTGGTTCCTGTCTGAAATTTCCCTGTTTCTTGAGTGTTGATCTTTATTTACTGTCCTGATTTTAGAGTTTTTTTAAGAAAACGGTACCCAGATCTTGTTCATTTTCATGGTTTCATGAGTGGTCCACCACTCTGGCAACCACCATGTCAGACTACACTGAGAAGTCATTGAAAACGACAAGCAAGTGGACAATTTCAATGGAAAAGAGGAAACCATGAAAATGAACAAAATCTGCCTATGAGTATTTTAAAAACTCTACAATCAGGACAGTAAATAAAGAGCAACACACACAAAAACAAAGGAATTTCAGACAGGAAACAATCAGAGCCAGCTAACCTCTCAACAAAGGATTCTCCCAGGCAGCAACCAGCCAGGCTTTGAAGCTATAAGCCCATTCAATGCTAATCAAGGCGGCCAACTGCAACATTCACACTTACCCCAAGTTTACAAGAGTTCTTTCTCCCACCCTGGACATTCCACAGATATATAAACCTCACTTGCCTAGTTTCCAGCAGACCTCACAACCTCTGAGGATGCCTGCCAATTTCACACCACTTGAATTGCCATGGCTCAATACAATGGTATTCCTGAAGCAGCAGCACACATTTGCCAAAAATATTAAAGTCCTTGCAAAACTATGAATGCCATGACTCCACAGTAAAAGTGGCATCAAACTGCATCAATTCTACAGTGTAGATCAGGTATGTGCAAACTTCGGCCCTCCAAACTTCAGCCCTAACACCTGGAGGGCCAAAGTTTGCCCATGTCTGTAGATGCACCTCAAGAACACACTTTTGAATTCACTGTTAGGAATGGTGGGAGTTGAAGTCCAAAACAACTGGAGGGCCGAAGTTTGCCCATGCCTTTAGATGCACCTCAAGAACACACTATTGAATTCACTGACTCACTATAAGGCAGTGATTCTCAACCCCTAAATACATTTCCTCATGTTGTGGTGACCCCCAACCATAAAATTAAATTCGTTGCTACTTCATACCTGTAATTTTGCTACTGTTACGAATCGTAGTGTAAATATCTAATACACAGGATGTATTTTTATTCGGTGGACCAAATTTGGCACAAATACCTGATATACCCAAATTTGAATACTGGAGGGGATTGATTTTGTCATTTGGGAGTTGTAGTTGCTGGGATTTATAGTTCACCTACAATCAAAGAGCATTCTGAACTCCACCAATGATGGAATTGAACCAAACTTGGCACACAGAATTCCATGACCAACAGAAAATACTGGAAGGGTTTGGTGGGCATTGACCTTGAGTTTGGGAGTTGTAGTTCACCTACATCCAGAGAGCACTGTGGACTCAAATAATGATGGATCTGGACCAAACTTGGCACAAGCACTCAATACGCCCAAATATGAACACAGATGGAGTTTGGGGAAAATAGACCTTGACATTTAGGAGTTGTAGTTACTGGGATTTATAGTTCACCTACAATCAAAGAGCATTCTGAACCCCAACAATGATAGAATTGGGCCAAACTTCCCACACAGAACCCCCATGACCAACAGAAAATACTGTGTTTTCTGATGGTCTTTGGAGACTTCTCTGACCCCCCCCCCCCCCCCGACCCCCCCCCCCCCGGCGACCCCCCCTAGAAGTCCTGACACCCAGGTTGAGAAACACTGCTATAAGGCAACTTGAAAGTACAAACACACCAAGATGATGTGATGCACTTATTTCAAGGATGGAGTACAACTCCAAATGGAAAGTTGGGGCTAAAACCCTGGCGTGGGTTTGCACCACCAGGTCAGGGCAACTCCCCAAACTTCTCCCTGGGAGAAGGAAATAAACCCCCTCCCAAGTGGGCTGTTTCCACTCACCTTCTGCCTGAAGGCAGGGCAACCCCAAGGCAAGCCCAGCCAGCCAAAGCGCCGCCAAGAAATCCATAGTTTGGGGAGGCTTTGGGGGGAAAGCCCCAAAGGAGAGGAGTCTCTTCTCGGCGGGTCCTTGCAGCAGGGAAAGAAAGAGCCTTCTTGGCTTCCTTCGGGGAGGGCGAAAGGAGGAGGAAAAGAAAGGGAAGGAAGGAAAGGAGGAGGAGGAGAAGCCCAAGTCGGGGAAAGCGTGTGCGGCTTTTCTCTCCTGAGTCTTTACAATCCAAGCGAGTCGCAGGGCAGGAATCCGCCGTAAATCATGGTCACCTTTGCGCCAAAGGACAGAAGAGAGGAAGGAGGAGAAGCAGGAGGAAGGAAGGAAGAGGAGCTCCTCTTTTCCGCAAAGTTCCCCTTGGCCAACTTCCCTCCTTCCCACGAAAAGAGAAAGAGAGGGAAGGAAGAGGAGCCGGTGGGCTCTTTGGGAAAGCCCTCCGACCCTCTCTGGCCGGCTTCAGGAGGGACACTTGGAGCAGCCCTGAAACACCCACCCACCAACCCGGTTCCTGCGTGAAAGAGGAGGAGGAGGAGGAGGAGGAAGAGAAGGAGGAGGAGGCAACCAGGGCCACCCACCAAGGCGCCCCCCAAAGAGGAGGAGGAGGAGGAGGAAGAAGAAGAAGGAGCAGCCCAGCTTGGGAGAGGAGACGCAGCTCCAGGCAAGGTGGGTGCTCCCTAGGCAGGCACACATACACACGCTCACACATGCACACACATATATATACACACCCCACACAACTATCCTCCCCCCCCCCCCCACCTCTGGGAAACTCGATGAGCAAACACACTCCCTTCTCCTCCTCCCCTTATTCTTCTCCTCAAGGAAACTCCCCGGCTTTCTATCCACTTTTCTGTAAAATAGAAGGATTCAAGGGAGGGTGGGAGTAAAGCAGCTTAGTCAATGGGAGGTAGGGTTTCAATGGGGAGTTGTTCCCATCCATAAACCTTCCTACTTGCACCCCACTCTTCTGTTAAAGGGCCAGGGTCCCAAAGAGATCTAGGGCAGCATTTCTCAACCTAGGGGTCGGGACCCCTTGGGGGTCACGAGGGGGTGTCAGAGGGGTCACCAAAGACCATCAGAAAACACAGTATTTTCCTAGTTGTATTGTCGAAGGCTTTCATGGCCGGAATCACTGGGTTGTTGTAGGTTTTTCGGGCTATATGGCCATGTTCTAGAGGCATTTCTCCTGACCTTTCGCCTGCATCTATGGCAAGCGTCCTCAGAGGTAGTGAGCTCTGTTGGAACTAGGAAAAGGGGGTTTATATATCTGTGGAATGACCAAGTTGGGACAAAGGACTTTTGTCTGCTGGAGCTAGGTGTGAATGTTTCAACTGACCGCGGGGTTCAGAATGCTCTTTGATTGTAGGCGAACAATCAATCCCAGCAACTATAACTCCAAATGTCAAGGTCTATTTCCCCCACACTCCACCAGTGTTCACATTTGGGCATATTGAGTATTCAGCAGTTTGGTCCAGATCCATCATTGTTTGAGTCCACAGTGCTCTCTGGATGTAGGTGAACTACAACTCCAAAACTCAAGGTCAGCGCCCACCAAACCCTTCCAGTATTTTCTGTTGGTCATGGCACTTCTTACCTTTAGGAAGCACATGGTTAGCCCAAGAGGCGGCCCTAGGTAATTTTCAATGGTAAGCAAACAGTATTTTGGCGCCCCCCCCCAACCAATCACTGATATATATTTTCTGTTCGTCGTGGGAGTTCTGTGTGCCATATTTGGTTCACTTCCATCATTGGTGGAGTTCAGAATGCTCTTTGATTGTAGGTGAACTATACACTCGCATATGTCAAGGTCTATTTTCCCCCCAAGAGCGCCCCAAGAGCGCCCCTGGGCAATATCAACTATACTGCAAATGCTTACTTTGCATAATGGGTTGAGCTGCCCCTGTCCACGTTGAACTCCCATCATTGAAGTTGAGAATGCTCTTTGATTGTAGGTGAACTATAAATCCCAGCAGCACCTGCAACTCCCAAATGACAAAATCAGTCCCCCCAACCCCACCAGTATTCAAATTTGGGTCTATCGGATACTTGTGCCAAATTTGATCCAGTGAATGAAAATACATCCTGCATATCAGATGTTTACATTACAATGCATAACAGTCACAAAGTTACAGTTGTGAAGTAGCAACAAAAATAATTTTATGATTGGGGGTTACCACAACACGGGTAAACTGTATGAAGGGGTCACGGCATTAAAAAGGTTGAAAAACACTGATCTATTGCCTTTCCACACAGCCCTATATCCCAGAATATCAAGGCAAAAAAGCCCACATTATCTGATAACCAAGATCAAAGTAGATATTCTGGGATTTTCTGCTTTGATACTCTGGGATATAGGGCTGTCTGGAAGGGCCTGGAGTTGGTGGAAATTGTTAACTTATATGTAGAATTATTCCCTTCAGGTTGAAAATGGGGGGGGGGGGGTCAAATGGTAGAGGGTCATCCCATCCTTCTTTGTGGGGAACAAGTTAAAAATGAGCCAAAAATGTGATGCAGTGGCTAAAAAACCCAATGGGATTTTGGCCTGCATCAATAGGAGTCTTGTGTCTAGATCCAGGGAAGTTAGGCTACTCCTCTATTCTGTCTTGGTCAGATCACACTTGGAATCACACTGAGTCCAATTCTGGGCACCACAATTGGAGAGAGATATTGACAAGCAAGAATGTGTCCAGAGGAGGACGACTCAAATGCTCAAGGATCTGGAGAACAAGCCGTATGAGGAGCAGCTGAAGGAGCTGGGCATGTTTAGCCTGCAAAAGGGAAGGCTGAGAAGAGATATGATGAGGGCCATGTGAGGGGAAGTCATAGGGAGGAGGGAGCAAACTTGTTTTCTGCTGCCCTGGAGACTAAGGGCCCTTCCACACAGCCCTATATCACAAAATATCAAGGCAGAAATCCCACAATGCCTGCTTTAAACTGGGTTATTTGAGTCCACACTCAGTTAATGTGGGATTTTCTGCCTTGATATTCTGGGATATAGGGCTGTGTGGAAGGGGCCCCCATGTATGTGAGCCACAACATATATATATTAGAAAAGTCTTGTCAATTCAGTGTTAACATTTGCATCTTAAACAAGAGGTCAGAGGTGTGCTGCAAACCTAGGTTTTATTCCACCAAGCCTGCATATTATTCTTTTGACTGCATACATAGTGCTAAAGTACTAGGGATCACTGGTATACCAAGGTTGTGCCATTACATGACAACATAACAACATTCCTGTTCATTTCTGGAACTCTCTGCCCCGGAGTGTGGTGGAGACTCCTTTTTTGGAAGCTATTAAACAGAGGCTGGATGGCCATCTGTCAGGGGTGCTTTAAATGCAATATTCCTGCTTCTTGGCAGGGGGCTGGATTGTATGGTCCATGAGGTCTCTTCCAACTCTAGGATTCTATTATTTTGACCAAACGAGTATTTAGTTCAGCATTTTGCTTCACACACTGGCCAACCTAGCGGAAACCCACAAGTAGAATATGAATGCAAATGCAACAATAATAGTGGCTCCTACTCTTGTTCCCCAAAAACTGGGATAAGAATATACTGGGATATAGGGCTGTGTGGAAGGGCCCTCAGGACGTGGAGCAATGGCTTCAAACTACAGGAAAGGAGATTCCACCTGAACATGAGGAAGAACTTTCTGACTGTGAGAGCTGTTCAGCAGTGGAACTCTCTGCCCCAGAGTGTGGTGGAGGCTCCTTCTTTGGAGGCTTTGAAACAAAGGCTGGATGGGTTGTTGTAGGTTTTTCCGGGCTATATGGCCATGTTCTGGAGGCAATTTTTCTCTTGACGTAGCCGTATTGAATTTTGGTACCAGTATTAAAAAACTCAAAAATTACAACAGCAAAACAACAGAGGAAAAACAAACAGGCACATAAAATCACTCCCAACAAAAGATTCCCCCCAGGCACTTCCAAGCCATTGAATGCTAATCAAGGTGATCAGCTGAAACATTCACAGCTAGCCCCAGCAGACAGGGGTCCTTTGTCTCACCCTGGTCATTCCACAGATATATAAACCCATTTTTCCTACTTCCAACAGACCTCACTACCTCTGAGGATGCTTGCCATAGATGCAGGCGAAACGTCAGGAGAAATGCCTCCAGAACATGGCCATATAGCCTGGAAAAACCTACAACAACCCAGTGATTCCAGCCATGAAAGCCTTCGACAATACAAAGTCTGGATGGCCATCTTTCAGGGGTGCTTTGAATGCAATTTTCCTGCTTCTTGGCAGGGGGTTGGACTGGATGGCCCACGAGGTCTCTTCCAACTCTATGGAAGAGAAGGGGAGCAGGATGGAAACAGAGCAGCCTAGTCAGTGGGGGGATCCCTTCCTTCTGGGAAGTTGCCTATCTCAAGGACCCCTCCTTCCAAACCTGGGCAAAGAGCAGCCAAGGAGAGTTATTCCTTCCTTCCCTAAGCCTACTTCTAAGGACTTCCCCCAAGGGGGAGAGAGAGTAGGGAGAAAGCCATTGGGGGAGCATTTCTTCCCATCCCATCCTCCTTTCTCTTCTTTCCCCCTCTCTCTTTCTTACAGGGCGAGTGTCTCCCTGGTTCTCCTATGGCTCTCAAGGATGATCCTCCCCTCCCTCCTTCCTTAGCACAAGGGCTCCATGCAAAGGCTCCCTCTGCAATACGTCCTGGAAGCCGAGAAAGAAGGAGAGGCAAAGTAATTACACTCTGCAGGTTCGATGCGAAAAAAGCCAATGAGAAGGATAAACACACAAAGTACTACACAGACAAAACAAGTGAGGAAAGATGCCTTTTAAAAATACACACACACACACACATATATATATATGTATATATAGTTGAAACATCAGGAGGGCTCTGCTTGCCCTTAAGAAAAGGAATATTTCTCTATATTTCCCTCTTCTAAATGGCAAGCAGAGGTCTCATCTTCTGGCCGCCCCCCTTCTTGTCTCTTCTGAAGGAAGTCCTCTTTCCTTTCCCATGCAGACTCAGTGTGAAAATGGACCCGGCAAGGAAGAGAAGGAAGGGGGGACTTGTGTGAGA